TGTTTGCTACTGGTCTATGATGAGCTAAATACGCAAAGTGAAAGTAAGCATTTGGAATGTATGCAATTGTGTCGAACGGCTTTGTCTACTGGACTTAGTAATAAGAAATCAAGAGCTTTCAAACGAAAACATGTACACGGATGTTCACAGCAGCCCTATTCATAGTTGTCAAAAGGCGGACAGCCCAAATGTTTGTCAGTGAATAAACAAGACGTGGTAGGTCCATACGACGAAGGCGTGAAGTAGTGATCGGCATTATATACCGTGGATGGAGCTCCAGAACATTATGCCAAGAAGCCAGCCACAAAAGGCCACACGTACATGTAGGATTCCATTCCGACCGGGTGTCCAGAATAGGTAAATCCATAGACAGAGACGGCGAGGGGGGGAAATGGGGAGTGACTGACGGTAGGGCTCCTTCTGAGGCAACGAAAATGATATTTGGAACAAGGTACTGATGACGGCTGCACAAATCTTGAAGGTTCTAAACGCCACCGAATTGTACGCTTTAAAATGGTTAGAATGGTCAATTTTATATGTACCGTAGCACAGTCCAACAAAATTGGGGCTTGTATCTTTTGTGCCTTTGTTTTTCTCCTTTCACTTTTCCGGTGGAGAGGGAAAAGCCCAAGCGGGGAGCCTGTGAAGGTAGTGGGGTGGGGATCCCTAGTAGAGGCTGTCGGACACGAGGCTCCACCCACGTCACTGGTGATTGGTTCTCCTGGAGAGGGGCGTGGACTAGGACCTGCCGGAAGCTAGCAGAGGCAGGGCGCCCAGACGGCAGTTCAGTATCTGCCTATCTACCAACCTACCCACCTACCTACCTTATTCATCCATCCATCTATCCATCCATGTACCCCTCCCTCATTTCGTGTACAATGTATTGGTACTAAGAGGTGGGGAATAAGCTTAGGAATTCCCTGAGCCTGCACTGATGGGTTAACAAGGCATAAAGAATTGCAAAGCCATAGGATGCTCACACCCAAGTCTGGGTAAACAAGATGAGGTAAATAAATAGAGAGAGGGTGGGGCAAAGGCCCCGATACAAAGGAATATGCGGTAAATAAGATTAGGTATTCAGGGTGGACCCCCCAATTTAGTACTATAGCAGAAAGCTGCTTTCACAGGAAGGAAGAACCAAGTTAGGAAAACAGGTAAATAGGGCCATAGATCTCTGTGCGGTGAAGCGGCCCAGGGAGGAGCTAATTATCAAAACAAAGGTGCCTTGCTGACCCTGAGGTAGCACACTCGGTCCCCTAGGTCTTATCCCCTAGGCTACCTAAGACAAACAGACACGGCGCCTCCTGTCTGCCGTTAACAACCATCTGCCCCGTGCCAGGATTTTGTTTTATATTGACCCAAACCCCTAACACCATATATCTTCAAACCCCCCTTTCCCTCACGCCCATGAGTTAATGTTCACAGATTTATTGTCTCTTTGTGCACACCCATCACCATGTTTGTAAGCCTTCTGATCCCAATAAAAACAGAGCAAGGACTCTGAATCGGGGCTCTTGTCTTCTCCCGGGCATTAGCCGTCTCTCGGATTTTAATCCTGCGTCCCGCTTTCTTGCTGGACAAGAAAGAACTCTAGACCCAGAGTCTACGACACTAAGAGTCTCGGTAAAACAAGTCTAAAACTACTGAGAGAGGAAATAGTTCTGAAAACCTGTCCTGCCAGCTCGCCTCTGCTTTCTGCCCCTGCTCACCGAGGAGTCCCCTGGCCTGAGGGAGGCCAGGTCTTTGTGGCAGATAAAGGTGGTCTGTCTACTTGTTAAAAAAGAACACTGCCCCCCTGCCAGTTAATAGGTTGATGGCTATGAGGATGAATACAAATCAAAGTATGAGAGAGAGAGAGAGATATTAAGTCTCCCTGGTGCAGAAAAGGAAAAGAGAGCCTCCTCCTTCCCTTTTCTTAGAGCAGTTATTTTGAGAAACTCTTTATGAATCTTTTCTCTCCCCTTTGAAGTGTATGTAAATATTTTGAAGAGCTAAATGAGTCTCTTGCCAGTTTTCCAACCTCGGAATGTTTTCCTCCAGGACCTGGGGCGTCATCACTTTGCAATGTAATCATCAAAATACAGTGCCCCTGCCCCCAGATTCTGCGGTCAGACAGGAGCCTACCTTCTACAGGTGCCCGGCTCCAAGTTACAAAACTACTTTGTTGTTAAGCTATGGGAAGGTTTCTTTTTCCTCTGGATAAAGGCAATTGGCAAGCACAGATGGCCACCCTCATTACCAGGTGGACTTAGGAAGATCTAGGGGGACAAGTGGCACTGTGAGGCCACCTGCTTCAGCACAGCTATCATTTATCTTGAGAACAGGTATGCAGTGGGGGTATATCTGCCTGCCTGCATAAAAGGGTGAGGTTTCTGGGCTGCCTGCCTGGCTCAGTAGGGAGGGCGTGCAACTCTCGATCTCTGGGTCGTGAGTTCGAGCCCCACGTTGGGCGTCGAGATGACTTAAATGCATAAACAAATAAAAGCTTTTTTTTTTTTTTTTTTTTAAAAGGGTGAGGTTTCTTTCTGGTTTCACAGTCTCTTTAGCAGCTTGCCTGTGGTGCACATCACAGTTTGGTTTAACCCTTATTCAATAAAAACTCATTTTCTTTCTCTCTCTGTCCTTTGTGGAGAGGCTTTCTGGCTCAGCAGGAATCTATTTCTCATCACTTGCCCTTCCTGTGCCTTTGCCGCCCCCTGTGAGCTTGCATGGGAGGAGGCAATCCCGGAGACGGCAGGCAGCACCGAGGAGGTCTGGGGAGCACCTCCAGGAGAGGCCGACTATTGCTCACTCACGGACACTGCCTGACCCACCCCACCCCATCGGGCTGCCCCACTGTTTTCTGGAAGCTCGGCTCCGGGCGGTGGCTACCATCACGAGCTGCGTGACTTGGGTAAGTTATTTAACCTCATCGAGCAGGGGTGAGGCCCTTGCTCTGGGCACAGCATGGGGGCGTCAGCACCAAAACTTCAGTCATGAAGTTCGTTTTGGGCTGAAGGTCTGTGTCCCCCAGCACTCATATGTTGAAGCACTGCCCCATAATGTGATGGTATGACAGGTGTTAACTTTGGAAGGTAGTTGGGTTTCGATGGGGTGAAGTGCTATGGTAGGATTAGAGGCCTTATAAAAAGAGGAAGAATGGGACGCCTGGGTGGCTCAGTAGGTGAAGCATCTGACTTCGGTTCAGGTCACGATCTCGCGGTTCGTGAGTTGAAGCCCTGCGTTAGGCTTTGTGCTGACAGCTCAGAGCCTGGAGCCTGCTTCCGATTCTGTCTCTCTCTCCCTCTCTGCCATTCCTCCTACTCACGCTCTGTCTCTCTCTCTCCCTCTCTTTCTCTCAAAAATAAACATTAAAAAAGAAATTAAAAAAAAAT